TCTGCAGACAATGGCGGGGCGACGGCCTCTGGCGGAACGGCGAGAAGCGCATCGAAAACCGCATGTGCCTCCCAAATATCCGCAAAATAGATTTTTCTCCTTTTCCCAATCTGCCTGCCCCCCCATACCCCCCAAAGCTGTTAGCAGCGCGGTTCCTGGTGCTGTGAGCTCAGACTCCGACATCCATGATACCCGTCACCCGAAACCGACTGAGATCCTGGCACTGCGCCTGCTCCGTGGTCAGGGGAGACTAGTATTGATTAAAAGCCTTCTTGACGGGATCATCCTGTCACCTGACTAAATAGGTGGAGGCCCCAGACTCAGAGGGGTAAATATGCCTTTAGTAAATAAAACAACTCAGTCAACATGACCAGTTCACCCATTAACCTCACGGAGAGAAAAAAAAAAAAAACATTAATTAGAAATGACAGTCAAACCAGGAGGGGATACATTACAGTCCCGTAAACAAACACTGAAAACATTAGAACAGGGTCTACCAGGGGGACCAACTGAATGCTATCACATCAAGTTAGAGGTCAGTATTTGCTCTGGAAGTCAGATAAAAAAAAAAAGACATCTTTGTGCATGATTAATTTTGCCACAGGTCCAAAATGAATATTTTATACCCACTGGAAGTTGTCTTGTACAAGTTGTATTAATTGAGACAGGAAGTCCTTTGGGAAGAGTAATTTAAACATACATTTCATGGAAAAAGAAGTTTGACGTAACTTATTTAAATGCAATATGAGCGCTACATGTTTTATGAAAAGGAAAGTTATTTTGCTGCAAACATAGTGTATATAGTGTCTGTCTATAATATGCACGTTGACATTTTTGATCAGTCTTTAAATATTTAGGCTTTATAGGATGGTAAAAAAACTAAAATATCATCAAATAAAACAAAAATAATATCAAAATATAAAAATAATAAATTATATAACAAAAACTTATGTTCATTGATCATTTGTACAATTTAACTTCGCTGTCTTTTCAAGATGAATGTAAAAATCTGTAAAATTAAGTTTTATTTATATATTAATTTATTTTATTTGCATTAAGCCCCCACCCCCCAACCAGGGAGATGATACAAAACATTACTGCTTTTCAAAGGTGCCCCCTGTAGGTTTGCTTTAATTTTGTGAAATTAGCCTGCAACCTGAAATCACTGAGGTCAACACAATAGCTTAGTCTTGTGCATCTGGGTTACAAAACAGACGTGCTAGTTAAGCAGATTAAAAAGGAAAAGAAATACCTCAAGAAGGAGCCCTTGGTTGTTGCACAGGGGAGGGCCTTGTGTACAGAACCGAATCTACCCAAGGTCACAAGTGAGGGTGAGAGAGCAGTTAGGCAGACCCCACTACTTGAGATGCCCCACAGATCATATGGATAAAAGGCCCTCTTTCAGGCCAGTTCATGTACAAGCCTTCAGGAGCAAGGACAATGCTGGTAATTCTCATCACGTGGCTTTTCACCTGAGATACCTTCAAAATGATCTCCAACTGTGACCATCCATGACTTGGCAAGAGGCTCAGATTGACAGGAGGGGGGGCGTCAGTGGGGGGGAGGGGGCGTGTGCAGATCGGGTTGTCAATACACACAGGAACGGTTGGTTAGATAAGGTACCTTGGCGGATCCAGCGGATGTCACATCCTGGACTGAAGCTGACTCGAGAGGCTAGGAGATTGCTCAAGATCGTCGTGTATGGGCAAGAGTAACTGAAAGTTGCTTCTTGCTTCCCAATACCTTCGACCACCCAGATACCCACCTACCCACCAAGCCTGTACATTCAAGTCTCTTAGTCAACAGAAGCTGAGTTCTGGAATGTGATCATGTGTAACATGCATTGTAAAGTCTCAGACTATTCACAGACTGGACAGTCTCGGGAGTTCAGGTCTTCATTGAAAGCTAGTTGAGAAGTATTACAACATCATAACAACATAGTACCTCTCTCCTTATATAATATATTAATGGAATTTACAATATTGTAAGATGTCCCAAAGGTGAGGCACCTATTATACCACATATACTAAGAGACCAGCAAATCGGAACAAAGTTCTTATTGATTTCATTGTCTTTATCTCCCCTTTTTCAAATTATCTTTAAAACATAATACAGGTCCATACTGTATTTCTCAACATTATACAATGGCAGAAAATTCATTAACAAAATATAAATCCATGCTTAGGAGTATTTAGAAGTGAATCTTTTGTTCTGCTAAAGCAGAATAAACTTCTGTGAGATTTAATGCCCTCACTATTTTGGAAAAACTCCACTACATAAGAAATTTACAAACGACTCTAAACAACTCACTGAGAAAGTCGAAGATTTGCAACCGGGCTAGCTTCTTGAAGGTTTGGATGGACGTCACGGAAAAAGGGACAGTATTTGTAATTCTGCTTTTGAGTAATCACGTGATCTCTTGTATGCTCCCCCCATCTTCGGGTTTCTATCAACAATTTTAATTCCACCGTCGAAGTTACTCCTGGATACTCTGATTATTATACATTTACATTGGAAACCCCTGCTAGCAGCCCGTCGTAAGGGTCAGGGCTTCAGTGGGACTGAATAGGATATTTATACCCGATTTGTACATTTTAATTATGAAAAGTAATTCGACACTTTTGGTATAACGGTCACGTACATTAATTGTTGTTTCCTTACAACTAGTCCCAAAAAGTTTTAGCACTTTAGGTTAACAGGCCACACTTTAAATACTATTACAAAGAAAATCTTCGACAGGTCCATCCAATTTCTTTAACTACAGTTAGGCTGCACTGATTAATTTAAGGTGATATCAGCTAAAACCTAAAACTATTAACTGAAATAGTAAAGGCTTTCCTGCTCTGCATCTTTAAAAAGTACACACACACAAAAAAAAACATCTCAGATCATCGACTTAGTATTTGTTTCTGGCATCGCGTGGTCCGGAGCTGTCCAACATTTACTCTACACCTGGCTAATTAGATGCCAGCGGTTACATTGTCAATAACTTCGGTGCCCCTAATTAAATATAATTAGGCGAAGAGCCGCTTCAAAGCGCTAGAAGGGATATCTACAGGACGGGAAATGCTGGAAGCGAAATGCCTCGTGTTCTCTTTCCCGAGAATTACAGTTACAAAGGATGTCACGAAGCCGACATAAATTCACCCAGCAGTTTGCGTTCCCTCTATATCGCATTGCAACACATTGTGATCACAGGCTAAGGAAGGACTTGATGCGATTCGTGAGACTGCAGCAATACGTTTACCTTACACCAAATCAATCACCTGCATCAGGCCTTTTCCCCAGAGTCGACGCGTCCTTGAGTGAAATACTTGTTTTTGTTTTATTTTTATACTCATTGGTTTTGAGTACACTAAGTTAATCAAAGTGTTAAAACCTGCCAAACGAATTAAACAGAGAAGGAATCTAATTTCAGCGAGGCTCATTATAACTGAATGAAGTATAGACTACTTTTTAAAATGGAGTGTCACCAAATATAAGAAAATAAATAATAAAGTTCTTATATAGCGTGCAGATTGACTGGAAGTGATCCGATAACGGTGTTTCTAGGCTTGAACATTATGGGAAAAGTTACTGTAACGTTCTTCCCACCCCCTTAACAATGCATATAGGTACACTTAGGATGGGGCTTTTTTCACTTATGCCGATCACGATGGGGAGCAGCGCCTCGCGATCGCCGCGCGCAGCGTTGTCTTGCTTTATGACAGATCGCTCGGCAGTTAATATCCCCTAATTAATTCGCGCACGCCGGAGGGCTGCGCGTTAAAAGATGGCAGCCCCCTAGGTGTCTCACTTTCGCAGTGTTCGCGCGCCGATCGCAGGAGAGGAGAGGAGAGGAGAAGAGAGGAGGCGAGTGAGTCAGTGCGCTGACGTCACCGCCGTGTTGATTTGCTGAGCCGCGGGCAGATAGGAGTTTAGTGCGCGTGAGAGCGGCTGCTGCGAGCCGCGTTACTATGCCGCTGCCCTAATAACGACGCGTCGGGAGACGGAACGTGCGCCCGGGGTGAGTAGACGCGCGCCGATGGGGGCGCGCAGCCCGCCGGCCTCGCTGCCACACTTCACCGGACTCGCGGCTACGCGTGCGCCGCCGGTGTCTCACGCGCGGCGCGATCCTTTATCGCTGTATCGTTTTTTCCCCCCGAACGTCTTTAATCGCCACTTAAAACAGCCACAAGTTACGCTGACTGGCTGGGAGCGTAACAGTGTAGCTGAGCCGAGTTCAGAGTTGCAACACAAATGTTTTCCGTGGAGGAGAGAGGGGGTGAAAGTATAGCCTCGGTCTCCAAAGAAATTATTTAATGCAAGACACCGGAACGCCACAGTTGTTGACTACTGTAAGGCGCGTTGAAGTTTGCAGTTATATTTACTGGTTTGCTGGGTTGAAGATGTTAGGTTGACGTAACCGGCTGTTTTAGTATTCTGGAGATCACTACAGCAGGAACGTGAGGTCTGGTCCTACAGTTCGTTGCACACCAGACAGTATGACGTGCAGCTGTTTGCATCGATTTGTGTTTAAATTCAGTGTTTAGGCGCCTGTGAAGTATTGTGTGCTCGTAATCACGTCATTTTATTGACTGTGCTCGGATTGTATTTTCTTCGAGTTTCACCGGCGGGCGAATGTTATTCTTGAAGCTCGACGCACTTGCTGCGTCTTTGAAGCGGTATTGTCAGATCATCACTAGTAAGTGTTAGCAAGCTGAGAATTTACCCATCTGACGGACCGGAGAAATGTACATGGCAGGCATCCTCATTGGTGCCTCCGTTTGCTTTTTTATTTTATAATTTGAATGCCAGTTATTGCATCCGCGAACGCATATCCTTTATTGTAAGTAGAGCAATGCACTGGCTTTGATTATTTGGATTGATCATTGAACACATTAGCTGTAGGTTTTTTTTTGTCTTCGAGCACGACAGTCAAAAATGTTTTACATTTACACGACCAAGAGCTGCATTTATTTCAGTATATGAGATTCACGTGGTTTAATTGGTGTCTTCTGTAAAGTCACCAATTGAAATAGCTTTTCAATCAGTTGCAGTTCAGAGATCGTGGTGTATTGCTTTGCTTTCTGTCGGCATTTACTTTTCGTATGTTTTTGTAAATGTCGGCGATCTTACGCAGGATGGTGTCAATGCCTTTGAATCTCATTCTATTCATGTATTTTTGAAACTGGTTTATTATCGGCTGAACGATTGAGCGCTTCCAGCGTTAACCAGTACAGTCTACGGTAAGGGAAGGGTACAGTGAATGAGACGAAATTTCAATTAATTGCCTTTTGTCGGTGTATAGGATGCCTTTGCTTTACTGAATATACAGTACAGTATGATGACTTTTGCTAATAAATATATTTGTAAGTAGCCTAACTGTGTATGTTTAGCGAGAAAATCGACTTAATTGGTTTTGTCTCTGATCTTTGCGCGCTTCATATTGCTGAATCGTTTTACTGGAAGTACGATTGAATTTTCCCGTTACGTCCGTTCTTTTCCCTTCGGTTTTAAGATTTAATCATTCGTTCTTTTTGTCAAAAGTTTTCTCTCTTGTAACATACACAAGACACAGAGAATTACGCATTGCAACAGACACGTCCTTATTTTTACGAGGTCATAAATAAGAGCTCAATTGAAATTCAAGTCATAAAACAGCGTTTGAGGCTTCTATATCAACAAGTCGAGTTATTTACCTGTTCGCTTTCCCCCGTATTTTTCAGATATCACTCATGCACACCCGAAATAGAATTTCTTTCATTTCAGACCTGCATCTGTCTACGAACCGTTTTTTTTGCGATAATTGATGAGACGCCTAGATTATTGTAATGCATTGTCAGTTTTTACGACCTGAATTCATTTCAGTGAAAGTATCTGTAGTTATAAAGGGCTGGATTGAGATGGCTTTCCTTAAAACATAAATGAGGATGAGAATCAACTAGTGGATTTATGTAGCCCTTAAATACCGTATACTCTGTTATTTATAAGGCTTGTCCTTTTGATTTAGATTATTTCTGGCATTCTGTATTATTACGATACCTCGCATACCAACAAGCTTGGTCACTGTTTGCGTAAACGGTGATACAGACTGTGCTTTGTTTTTTTTGGAAAAAAACAATCAATAACCAGATCCTTATTTTATGCGATCATTAATCAGGTAACAACGGAAATGGTTGCCGAAATAGTCTTTGTCGTTTGTCTGACTCGGTCCAAAGTCTAATTTTTTCGCGCAACTATGTGTCACTGTGAGAGAGGTATAGTTTTTTTTTTTTTTTTTAAGTTTTGTTTTATTCATCGGGAAAAATGTCTTTGAAATGCATGAGCAGTGGGTAACGATATGTCCTCGGTGTTAATTGATTCCTTCAAATGTGTGTTTTTAGCATCTTCGCAATATTTATTAATTTGATTCAATTAAAAAAAAATAAAGGAAGTATGTAATAGTAGGCATGGGTGCGGGCGATTTTTTTTTCCCTGCACGGACGCGTGTGCTCCGGAACATGTGCGTGTGAGCCGGGCTCGTTAGCGCGAGGTCCCTGCGCGTTCGCGCGCCGCCGACGCGGCGCTGTTTGCCGCGCTCTCCGCGCTCCGCTTACCGTCCGCTGTGATGGGAATACTGAGCGCGATGCCGTGCTGATGGGCTTTGTGGGGCGAGCACCAAACGTCCTAACAAAAGGGATAGGGACTGTATAAGGGCATCGCCCCCCCTCAAAAAAAAACGTCATGTCACACACTTGTTGTCAGGGACCGTATTATGAGGTATAATACGGAACTGAATGTGACCTATAGATTGTAAAATGTGATGTGTGCTTGTCAGATGATGGATAATTAAAATCTAAACTGCATGTTTGTTTCACTTTAATTGGAATAATCCAAGCAGAAATTACAACATGGCTAGCGTTCAGTTGTTTTTTTACTCTTGCAATAAATCTGTTTTTCCACTTTAGTGAAAACGTGTGTTGAATACGTTCATGTCAAAGAATTTCAAGCGATGGCGTCATATTGTGTAGGCTTGTTAACTGGTTAATTTTGTTACTCTTTAAAACAGAAAATGATGTGGAAAAGATTTTTTCCGCTACATTTTATGTATGCAAATTATCCAAATAGACAACAAAGATTAAAGCAGTTTGTAAGCTTTTAATTAAAGAAATTCCTATTTTTCCTGCTGTCGTTTTTGTGCATTTTCTTTTTATAGTCATTAAGGCTTTTATTGCGCTTTTTAATATTTAGCTTTATTGCTGTCAAAATTATTGAATTGTTTGGTGTTTGGATAGCTATGAACGCAGCGTAGGAAAATATATGCACTTAAGGTTGATCGGAGTTATTTTAACTCAACAAATGTCACCGAAATGGTTCAGAATGAAGCATTATTAGTTACGAACACGCCTCTGCATGTTAGCGTATGGACACGTGACACAGCGTCTGATACGCGCCTCCCGGGCTAAAGCGAAAGGACCAGCTGCTGACGGCAGTGCGCGTTCGCGTACGATTCAAACTGATGCTCAGTGAAAATGAAAATTGTGTATATGCGCTCTGTTCTCAATTAACGTTTTTTTTTTTTTTTTTTTTTTGCTTTCTCTTTCTCCCCCCTAGATTAACCTTATCTGGTTTACAAAGATAACTGAGCAAATACAGAGGAAGGGGGGTTAGACAGCCTCATGAGTGTCTTCGGTGGACTTCGGAGACGTTATGGATTTGACTAAAATGGGTATGATCCAGCTGCAGAACCCCTCCCACCCCACGGCCCTCCTGCAGAAGGCCAACCAGATGCGTCTGGCGGGCACTCTCTGCGATGTGGTCATCATGGTGGACAGCCAGGAGTTCCACGCCCACCGTGCCGTGCTGGCGTGCACCAGCAAGATGTTCGAGATCCTCTTCCACCGCAACAGCCATCATTACACCCTGGACTTTCTCTCACCAAAGACCTTCCAGCAGATCTTGGAGTACGCTTACACCGCCACACTCCAGGCAAAGGTGGAGGACTTGGATGATTTGCTGTACGCGGCAGAGATCCTAGAAATAGAATATCTAGAGGAGCAGTGCCTCAAGATCCTGGAGACCATCCAGTCATCGGATGAAAACGACACTGAGGCCAACGCCAACGACGGCGGGGGCGGTGAGGAGGATGACGAGCGCCGGACGAGGCACGGGAAGAGTGCGTTGATCTCAAAGAAGCATTCCATGGAAGAGGGTGGTTACAACCCTACCGCCCAACAAGGCTTGTCCCTGCCCAACATGGTTGATCAGAGCCCCTCCGTCTCAACTTCCTTTGGCCTCTCCACCATGAGCCCCACCAAGGCTGCCGTTGACAGCTTGATGAGCATCGGCCAGTCCCTGCTGCAGGGTGGCATGCCCCACAGCGCCGGCGGGGACCCGCTGGCTCCAGCCAACGCCAACCCCCTGGTGGCCGAGGTGAAGATGGAGATGATGCAGGTGGATGAGGGACACGAGAGCCCCCACGCGATGGAGTCCGGCTCCTCGAGCAACGGGGAGAGGAGCGGCGAATTGGACCGCAACCGGGAGGGCCCCGGCACCCCGACCCGGAGCAGCGTCATTACCAGTGCCCGTGAGCTGCACTACGTCCGCGACGAGGCCATGGGCGACCCGCAGGCCGAGGCGGCACAGATGGCACTGGAAGGCGTTACCGGCCTGACTGAGAAGCACCTGGCATCACTGTATTCCATGCCCTCCAACCACAAGAACGAGACAATGGTGTCCATGCCCGCCTCTGTGGCCTCCTCCCTCCACATGCCCCCCGCCCTGGCCATGTCCATGGACTTCAGTGCCTATGGGGGCTTGCTGCCCCAGAGTTTCATCCAGAGGGAGTTCTTCAGCAAGCTGGGGGAGCTTTCGGCCGGCGTCAAGCCCGAGGGCAGGAACCCGAACGAGCGCTGCAACGTGTGCGGCGCCGAGCTGCCGGACAACGACGCCGTGGAACAGCACAGGTAACGCCGGCCTGGCCGCTAGGAGCCACCATACACTTACGCCTCATTGGTTTCATGCATGGAGGCACTTTAACGCCGACATAATGACACACCACACTTAATATTTAACACGACTATAAAGGCTGCCCACTGAACATGATTTAATTGGCCCGTAGCTCTTGGGGCCGGTGCACTGTGCGCATACGCTCACACTCACGGATCGGCAACGGAAAGTCTTCACGTTAGGATGAGCAGGGGTTTGTCGCGGGCCATGCCCCCTGGATCCACGCGCCCTCAGATGCCCTTGCTACAGAAAGTGACCGTAGAACGTGACCGTTCCCAAGCAGGACCGTTAGCGACGCTTAGACAGCCGACGATAAATGCTTACACTTGTTTTTTTTTTTTTCCCCTCTCACTCCCCTCTTTAAAAGGCGGCTATAATTTTATAGCCGATTTTATTTTATTTTTTGCAGTGCACGGTTTTCATTTCCCTGTCATTTTAACCACATTTTGCCGTGTTTATGAGGTGCCCGGCAACTCGGCCATTTAGCGGACGTTAACCGTAGCGGCCCGTAGGACTTTAGCTGGTGGGAAGGACAATTTGCAAGGCGAAGTCGTCCCGAGCGTTTGCCGCAGAGCTGCTGCTTGCTACGTTGCGTGAGTTTCTGTCTGGGTTTTTTTTAATTTTTTTTTTTTAATTAAGACTTAGTTGCTTTATTCCGCAGAAGGTCGCTGCTATCGTTAAATGCATCAACGGGAATGGCACTCTATATTATGAGGATGATATTGCATTATGAGCTGGCTCATTCCAGTTTTTTAACGTTAATTTTAAATAAACTAACTAAAAGCCTTTTAGAATTTTATTTTATTTTTTTAAATATCTTTTAGGCACCCGTTTCGGGGTAAGCAGTATCTCATGCTAAATTATATTGGGAATTTAGATGAGAAGTTAGAATGTGGTGACCCTGCTGGAAGACTAGACTGGTGCACTTTTCACACACAGCGCGTTAAAGCTTGGTGTCAATGTGCCTCTTGCTCAGGGTGTCGTAGACTCCCCTGCCACAGCCATGAATGTGTCTCTTGAATGCTGATCAGTCTTGTACTGTATGGGGGCAGCCTCTGTGGCCAGGAATAGCTTACAGTCGCAGTTCTAGAGGGGGAGATCCGCCCCCCCAGTATGATGCTTTGGGATCAATCCTGTCTTTGTGCACGTGCAACTGTGCGGCCTATCGCCGCGACGGTAAAGGAGGACACATCGTTCAGGGGGAGCTGTTTTGAGATACTGCAGCCTTTTATTTTGCTTGTATGTTCTAAGCTGATTAGCATAAGAAGTCTGAGTATGAACCGTCCGTTGAGGAACATAGGACAAGAATGCTGATCCACAGCGAAGCAGGAGGTCCACAGAAACGTATCCTGCGAGCTCATACGGTTCAGCCAGAGACTCTTGGCTACCCCTGAGTGTTTGTGTTTATGGAGGCCTCGCTCCCCTCCTGCACGGTAGCTCGGCCAATTTTCTGGAGCTCTCCGGGGGTTCCGTGACGTAACTGGCTACAGACAGAGGCAGGAACAGCGATCCGGACGCCATTGCGCTACGGTATGGTGGCAGGTCGCGGCCAGATGGGGCTGCCTCGCTCCGTCTTGCTGGCAGGCGCTCACACGTTGACTCTTACCGTTCTGGCAGATTACTGCCCCGGTCGATACTCTCCGTACCCCTGGTGGGCGGCCGGGATTCTCCGGTGGGGCTGCGGCCGAGGGCCCGGCAGCCTGATCGTTTCCAGACCCGTCCTGCTGATTTGCGAGCGGCCGGTCCGGCCCTGGTCGGACCCATTAGCGGCACCTGGTTAGGGGAGCAGCTAATGGGAAGCAGCTTGCCCCCTGTGGCGTGTCCAGTGATGGGCGGCCGGGGGCCAGACCCTGTGCTCCCCCACAGCACAAGGAAGCCCTTATTAGCTTTATGGGGGGGGGCTTAGGCTGTGTGTGTTGGGGGGGCTGTGCTGCTCAGGAAATGAGGCTTTGCTGCCCAGGACCCTGGCCCCGACCTCCGCAGTGTAACCTTTGGGCTGCCTGCCCAGCCTCTGCTTCTCGTCAGTGGGGCGGTCTGGGGATGTGTATCCCAGGGCTGTGTGTGTGTGTGTGTGTGTGTGTGTGCGCGCATCCCCCACCCCTTTCCCAGTCAGGGTTCCTCCTGAGGTGTACATAGGCTCTTTCGCCAGCCCCCCACCCCCCAAATCGCCCCCCTACCCCACGTGCCTTCCAGTTTCGTTTGTTAAAAAGGAATTTCACAAATAAAGACCGTTGTCAGAGAAGGGGTGCAAAGGTCAGGCGTTTTGGAAGCGAATCCGCTGGTTTTCTTTCTCCTCCCTTTCTCCTCCCCCATCATGTCCAACAAGCCCTAAACCTGTTCCCCAGCCGCTGCGCCAAGCGAGGTGTGACACGTGTGCGGCCCCCCCGAAGAACCGGCCGCCCCGCTGATAGACACCCGGACGCTCGCCTGGTTAAGGGGCAGCAGGCGAGATCAGCACCCGTCCCAAGCGAGTCGGGGCAGGCGATCGTGACACGGACCGAGAATACATACAGTGTTGCGGGGGGAGGGGTTTCCGACGGTCACCATGCACACGTCCGAATCTTCTGAATGCCAGTGAACATTTTTGAATGAAAAGTTGCATAATTGCTCAATTTTATTGGTCTGCATGCGAAGGAGGCTGGTCCTGGGCCCTCGGTGCTTTATCAGAGAGTCGTCTGTTTGCTGTAATCTCCGAGAATGCACCGAGGTCAAGGCTCAGGTGAAGAGACCCATCTGCTCTGCCTCCCCAGCTCCTCGTCCAGAGGATCCTCTCGCCTGGCCTCGTTTTCGCATTAAATGCATTCAGAGATCTTTTAATGGGACGTATGAGTTTCTCATTGGCCGTGATAAAGGGACTGTTATGGATGACAGAATTATGGGCTCTGGGGGGGGGGGGAAGGCTGGGCTATGTCAAGGCTATTATAGTTTGTTTATTAGGACAACTCACTGAGAAGCTGAGAAAATTTAGAGAAAGGAGACTTTTTTTGGGGGAGGAGGGGTATTGTTTAGTTGTCACAGATCAGGTGGCTTGTTTATGTCTGTAAGGACACGCTGTTTGGATAGTTTGAGGAGGAGAAATTCAGGGATTTAACTCCAGTTATAGTTACAGAAACCGCAAGCAGGTTAAACATGTTTAGATTTGATGCTACTAACCTACATTTCTTTCAGTATTGCTCTTGAATGATATTTTAAGAATAAATAAGGAGTAAACAAAATTTATACTTTGTAAAATTCATAATTGAGCTGCTTTTCAGCTAATTGCTTAACCCTTTACTGTGCCTGCAGATTACAGTGTTTCACAATTAAATTGGCATAATTAACCACAAATAAAATTAGTTATATCAAGGAATAACGCGGGGAAACATCCTTCCAGAATCCTTTGTGTGATAATGTCAGTGATTATTGGAATAATATTGGAGTTCGGAAATTGGTTAGGGGGAAGTTTGTCTGCTTGTGCATGTTATGGACCATAACTGCAAGTGTCCACACATACACACACACACACACACACGCACGCACGCTTCCGTGGGGCAAAAGTCACAGAACCACCAATATGTAATATTTTAGTTGGCTTCTTTTAAAGGTCTGGTTCTTGACAGACACACACACGCGCAAACACACTTTCTTCAGACTAATTACTGAATGTTTTATAACAGCCCCATGTGGGGGGGGGGGGGCTCCCAATTTTCCCGTTTCTCCAGTTCCTCCTGTTCAGGGGGACCGGTGTGGTGTGGACGGGTCAGGTCGGCTGGCCCTAATTGTTTCCAGGCCTGGTGCACGTCCCTTTTGGGCGGGCTTTCGTGTCAGAGTGAATGCATCAGTAAGTGCCTGCTTCCTGTGTAAATTTAGCCTGTCCCATTCACTCTGCCTGCTCTGGGTTATGTCATAAAGCTCAATGAGATGTGGATTGGCTCCAAAACGAGGGGAGTGGAAGAGGGTGGGGCGGGGTGGGTTGGGGGTGGGGGGAGTGTGAAGGCCGGCTTTCCCATTGAAGTAGCCCTCAAGTGTAACATTTTGATACGGAGGGAGATCCGACACTGAGAGGGAGTTAAAGACGTGGACATGCCTGTTTTGTTTCGCGATTGCCTGGGGTTTCCTGCAGGGGCGGAATCCGAATTCCATCCCAGCAGAACGACGGCTCTTAAATCGAGATGCGGCTGACAGGCTGGGGGCCTGTTCCTCTCTGAGTCTGAGCTGGCGACCTTGGGGAGCCTGGATTATCGGCTGCATTTCGGTAACCCCCACCCCCTTTGATAGGAGAATAATCAGTTTGCAAAGCACAGTAATTACTAATAAATAAATGCATGAGTCTCCGGTGAGGGGCCTGTCTCTGCCGCTGCCGCCGCCGTCACCGAGTCAAAGGACTTGCCTCAGGTTGATCTGCAGTGCCGGTCCGTTGTTATGCAGACGGCTGCCTCTTAACGTACAAGATTTCGCTGGAGTCTGTGATGTATGTTTCGTTTGTTTTTTTTTGTTTTTTTGTTTTTTTTGAGAAAGAGAGTGATTGGTGGAGGAGGGATGCGATATCTCCCTAACGTCCACGTTTGATCTCTCCTTGTGCAGCCCTGCCAGCTTCAGGAAGAATCTCTGTCTGCCCTTGTTATACCCTGCTTGACCGCTGATGCCGTTTTAGCGTCTGCTTCTCCGCGCGTCCTCCCCGGCCCCCAGGTTCCGGGCGCTGGCTCTCGGTTCTGGAGTCAGTTTGGCGTTGGGGTCGGGCCCCTGCATCTCAATGCGGAGGTGGAACCTTATCAAATCATATCAGTGGGGGGGGGG